AAGTCTGCATCTTGTACAGCAATTAACCACTAAGAAGAATGTATGCAGTGTGTTAGTTATTGAAACTGTCCTAGCGATTTGATTTGAAACTGTCTCATTGCTATTTGTTTATCAGTAAAATTTTGAAAAAAAAAAATAGAGTTCATGTATAGGCCGGCCTGGCACTTGGGAGGCTGAACACAAGCGGATCACTATGAGTCTGATTTACATAATGAGACTCTACAGACCCGGTACACACAAACAAACAAACAAAAAACAAATGAGTTCATGTATGTAAAGTTAGTTTCCCGGGGTCGTGGTGTTGGAGGTGATACGGACCTTTAAGAGGTGGGCAGGTGGGGACTGCCCAGGCCTTTCTCCTTGGAAGGGATAAACTTCTTGCATGATATCACTCCTCGGTCACTTGCAGGAGGGGGGCTTATGAAATGAGAACGCATGGCCCCACTCAGCTTTTCTGCCTCCTGCACTGAGCTTTAACTTGCTTGCTAAGCGGGTGTCCCACCGGTCAGCATCTGTCACTGGAATTTGCCGCAGCCTGCACTGTGCTGTTTTTAATTTGAACTTCTAAAGCTATGAGCTAAGTAAACTTCTTTTCCTTCCTGAGTAGCCTGCGTCAGATGTGTTGTCACGGTGACGAAAACCTGACTAATGCATCAGGCATCGCGGTGAGAAGCTGAGCGATGCATGAGTGCTGCGCTTTTGAGCGGCCACGAGAGTAACTGAATTACAGTTTCTAGGAATGAAAATGAATGGAGACCCATAATGTTAACTGGAAAATTAGGTTCAAACTTATGGAAAAAACCATTGTAAGAGAACACAAAATAGAATCTTACCATTTAGTCTAAACATGCTGCCAGCCATAATGAATGTAAATGTATTAAATTGCCAGTTAATCAAAAGAATTAAGATTTCATAAAAACATTTAACTCTGAATACTATTGATGTTCCGTGTGGAAAAATTGTTATATCCAATTCCTATAAAGATAGCTTACAGATAGTTTATCAAACAATGAGAAAAACAAAAATTTCATCCCAATAGAAGACACTATGATTAGAACAAAATGCTATGAATAAATACCAATAATATGTTTTGATTTTTCTTTCAACAATCTTGCGTGTTTATATCTAGTAACATAAACAACTAATTGGAAGATAACATCATGCAGTACAGCAACCATTGTGGGATTCCTGTTTAGTGAAATTTTGTATTGTTTCTAATGCTATTTTTTCTATCACTATTTTGTATTCTTTAAAAAAT